TATATAATATATAATATATAATATTATTATTCTTATATAATTTAATAATAAATATAATCATTTTAATTTCGATTATAATAATTGTATTTCTTTTTCAAATTTCATTTTAAATTAAAAATCAAATTTGTATTAAATATGATTATAAGACTTCGTACCCAAGATTTCAGTACGAAGTATTAGTATCAAAAAACACTAAAGAAATGGGGGGAAATCAATATCCTGTTTCAACCCAATGATTATAAACAATAAATACCATTTGTATCTATTAAAACAAATTAAAAAACACAATTTAATGGTTTTTTTATTTGAAATGACCTTTAATATTTGTGATTTTTATAACTCATTCATCCATTATTAAGACTTTCTAGATTTAATTGATTGCATGGACTAAAAATTGTCGTTTTTTAATTTTAGGAAATGTCACAACTCGACAACACCAACATTACACTTATTTTAGAATATTTAAAAACCCCTGACGATTTTATTTCTATTTCTCAGGTGTCTAAAAAGGTTGCTTCGTCTTTGTCCTTACTCACAGTAACTCCAATTCCATTACCACCAAAACAGGTTTTAAAGTTCTTCCCAAATGTCACGGTGATCAATTTGTGGAATAATGAGCAATTGAATGAATATATGAAGTTCAAACAATTTGACATATTATCACATAAAATTCTTAATGTGTTATTTGAGGTTGATTATTCAACTGCAAAAAGTCTTCAAAGCGAAAATATTGTGTTTAAGAAGGTCACTTACAATGCAACAGACCACAAAAAGTTTGGTTCGAAATTTGAAGAATTTGATGTGATTCCACAAATTGTAGCACTTGATGACTTGTGTTTTGAAAATGATAATAATATCAAAGTAGTCAACATACCACAAACAGTAACACGTCTTGGGAAAAAATGCTTTTCAGCGTGTTCAACACTCAACTTTGTTGTTTTTCCACGACATCTCTCTGAAATTGGAGACGAGTGTTTCTCAAAATGCAACAATCTTCTTAATATTGAAATACCATCAACTGTGACGCTATTGGGAGAGTCTGCATTTGAAAATTGTAATACTTTGAATTATGTACGCTTCGTCAACTGTTTGTTTTTCCAAATTTCGAATTTTAAATAAAGTTAATAAATAGACGACAAAATGCCATCATATGACACCAACATACCTTTATTGGGATGTCTCACAACATTCAAACCAAAAACATTCAAAAATTGTATAGAACTCAAAGTTGTACATGTGCCAAACAGTATTGCTTCTTTGGGAGATCAATGCTTTTCTAATTGCTCAAGTTTAACTGAAATTACTTTGCCCAAGGGTTTGATTGAGATTAATTCATTCTGTTTTGAAAATAATGCCTCATTGATTAAAGTGAACATTCCAATTAATGTCATTACAATTGGAAATAGTGCGTTTAAAGGATGTGTTTCTATTAAGAATATATCTATCAGTGGTAATGGAATCATTGATTGTGGAGATGATATATTTGATGGATGTAGTTCACTTAAACAATTTAACATTCAACATTAATTCAATGTTGATATTTTATTACTTTTTTGAACTTGTTATAAGCAGTTTGTCAAAGTTAATTGTATTTTTAAAGTAATTCATATAATTATCAATATAAAAACAATTACTGGGAAATTTTGTTAAAACAGATGAAAAATCACGCATAAACCAAAATCTTTAATTTCATTGTGTAATTAAATCAGTATTTACAATTTTTATTAATTAACTTTCATTGATAATAACATATTATTTTGATATAATTAAATATATTTTTTCTTGACTATCTTTTCTTCTTTCTTAATTAAAATTTAAACACCTATTAAAAGATTAATGAAGTAATTATACCAATTTAATAGTTTAATAACATTTGTATAAAAGGTTTCATTATTAATAACTTTACTCTAATTTACAAATATAATTCAAAATAAAACATGTCAACTTCATATGTGCAAACATGTAGAATTGTACCGAACTTAATATATCTGACGATAGAATGATTAATATTTTAAAAATTGTATCTAAAATGATAAAAACAAAACAAGTTTTAGTTAGGTCTAATTATTAAATTAATAAAAATGTTAATGTATTTAATTATTAAATTAGTGTACAGTTGTGTATTTTAAAATTTACAAACAAATAGTATATATATTGTGTTGGTAACGTGAATGTAGTGTTGTTGTTTGTAAATTGAAAAAAAATACAAATTAAAACGATAAAGAATACAAAATAAACAAAATAAAATAACAACGATAAAGTCACCATTTTTTTTAATTTGTTTATATCACACTGATAATATTAACAGTCAAATATAATGTTAGTGACTTTTTAAAATAATGACAAAATACAAAAATCTATTTTTTAACTGTGTGGTGTTACAATTGATATTTGATTCTAAAAGTTAAATACAACAATTTAAAATTTAATTAAACTTTCATTCATTATTTATTTCAATTCTTAAAAATGTATTTTTTCATATTCAATAAACAAAATTTAAATTGTTTTTAGTTAATTAAAAAGATACTATATTTTAATATGATTTTATTAAAAGTTTAGTTTATTTGTTTCATAATAAAAAATAAATTATAATATAAACTACTTTAATCAATACTATAATATTTCGACTATAACATAAAATATACAAAATGTTACAAATAAGCCAAACAATACTTATATAATTGTTTGTCAAATCAAAAGGAGACTCTGTTTCTTTCGAATCAATAAATACAGTTAGCCCCAAATCATTTTTATTGTTTAACTTCACTAAAATACATATACCATTATTAAAATTTAATTTAACCTTAGGATTGCGGATGAATAACAAAACTAAAACAAAATACCAAAAATCTCAGAATGGCACCCTTGTTATTTTTATTACATTTCCTAAATTCGAAAAAATAAAAAAAAACAAAAATCATATCATTGAATTAATAATGTCGACGCATCATTTGAAATATAAACAAGTTTGAATTGCATATCAGAACAATACAAATCAATTTTTGATATCGTAAAGTCTCAATTTACGAGAATTTGTTAACAGTGAATCACACTTGAATTTTTAAGTTTTTTTTGTTTTTTTTCATATTTTTTAAATGGTTTAAAATAAATGTTATTTTAATTACTCTACCGACATTGTAAGGTTAAAAAAACACATTTAATTTTTTTTACTCATTCAAAATTTTTTAATCTTAAAAAACAAATAATGGAATTTGACAAAACCAAACTTGA